TAATTAAATAATTAAAGTTATAAAATAAAATAAAAATAAAATAAAGAATAAATGAATTTGGATCCTATGATTTCATAGTGAGCCAGGAGATAAAGACTTTTTACAAATTACAATATATAGTAAAAACTTTTTTTTTTTTTTTTTTTTTTAAGGTGAGTACTCAGCTCAACTTTCGTTTATTAAGAATATAGTAAAAACTTTGAATCTTAAGACTTTTTTATTTTATGTATAAAGCAAGATGAACAGAAAACAAGATAGTGTCTATTATATTTGAATAGGCTAGAGCTTGCAAGAGGCCTTTACTACTCATAATTTTACACTGTTAACAATCACATATAGTTTCTAAAATTTAGATTAACAAATATGCTAACAAGTCACAACACTTGTTATTCATAGTTACAGCTATTATATATTTTGTTAACCAAGAAAAAAAAAAAGAAATTAATATTAAATAATTAAGGAGAATAATAAAATAAAATAAAATAATATTTGATGAAAATTATTGATGAAGAGGGATTTGAGTAAGAGAGATGTAAGAAAGCAAGGAGAGGGTAAGGTCTTTAAAAGAGAGATAAATATTTTGAGCAGAAAATATTTTGTCATTAAATTTTAAATCATAAAAAAAAAAAGAAAAGTATTGTTTTTAAAGAAGTTATAGTAGAGAGATCAAAATTGTAAAGATGCAAATTATTGTTATAGATGTTGTAGTATATTCCAAATATCAAAAATATTAATCTGTATTTTCTATTTCCAAAATAATATTAGGTCCTTATATTTACACATTTGGCTCATGAGATACCTGTCTATCAGAACATAATTCATCCTGTGAGGTTGCAGTAAGCTGCAAGCTTTTAGAGTCTTTATGTCTACATATTTGGCTCATGAGATACTTATCCATCAGAGCATTATTTATCCTGTGGGGTTGCAGTAAGCTGTGAGCTACATCCAGAGATATTTTATCTGGGAATCCTTATCATCCAGGCATATTACTTCTGGGAAATCTAAAATCTATTTATAATATTGCAGAAATAAATTTAAAGTTTTTCATTAATGTATATATAGTTGAACTTTCCAAGCATTAATGTTCAAGAATACTTGATAGAATCTTCCTAGCTTGATAAATTAAATTATATTTCCTTATGTTTTTAAGTGGTAGTAATATAAAAACCACTAGTCACCTTTTGCTCAGAATTGACAAACTGTAAGTCTTTTTATGCATTTTCTACTTGCAAAGGGTAGAGATATTCCTCACCATCAGCTCACTTTTGCTCAGAAGTAGCAAACTGTTTTGATATAAATAAATTAAAAATAGAATATTCAAAGTAATGTTCATAATGTTCTGGGTCTATATCTACAATAGTATTGAGTATAAGCATCATCTAATATCATAAATCTACAAGAACATAAACATGTCTAAGTCACATGTCCAAGGTAAAGTT